TGAACCAGGTGACCCTTCCCAAAAGTTAAAATATGGACAGAGAAGATATTCCGTCTAAGAACTGTTTACTCTTAAAGCACAATTTGTTCTTACACTTGATGAATACTTTAAGACGCCCCTCTCTTATCCTCCTGGCAGCGTGTGGGCTGCGGGGAAAAGACAGCAGCTGCAAATCTACTCTGAAGACAAAAACACAAATCTTGAATGAAGGAGGAAAAGTGTTGGCACTGCTCTGCGGCGGGCACATGGACTGCTTGGAGCTTGCGAGCGTCGGTCCCCGCCTGAGTTGGGTTGCAGTGTGCCATAACCCTGCAGACCACACACACTCACAGACGCACTGAGCTGCCAAGTTTAAATGACTGTTTTTTTCACAGCGTCTAAATAGGAGCAGTCTGAAGGCAAGCTCGCGAGTCGTCACAAGGCGTGCTGTGCGGCCAGTGTTTAGCATAAATGCTCTGATTCATACCATATGCCCGTCACTCGTGAACTCGCCAATGAACACAGCATACAGCTCACACACTAACAAAAAGACTAAACAGAGGATGCAGAGACACTGTGCATTTGATTGACTGTCAGAGTGAGTCGTGAAAAACAGGAGCTGTTACAGCGAGATGGACAGGCTTTACTGTAGCAGAGCTACATGAGCTCCTGTTGGTCCATTGTCCATCGAGTGACTGTTGTGGCGTTGTATTGTTGGCTGTCATGCGTGTCAGCTGGGCTGCTTGGGACCCGCTTTCTCTAAGCCTTACTGTAAGGCCAACTGTGGCTGCAGAAATGTAACTGACATAAAAACAAAACATAGATATAACAGGATAAAGGCCTGTGTCCATCAACACAGTTATTTGTGCTGGCAGCGCCCATTTTCAATAAAAATAACAATGCAGTTCAGCCTTTTTAGCCCTCAGTGTGCCAAAATGCCCGTAGTGGCTGTTTTTTTATGGTTGCTGCGCTCACATCACTTCCCGTTGAAAAAAGTTAATTTCCTGGAACACTGCAGCGCTCGTCAATGTCACCTTTCCCTTAAAACCAATCAAAATCAAGAAGGACAGGATATCTGATATCAGCTTTGACCACAACAATGACGGAGGGAGAAACTCATCTGACCTTTTTAAAGGTTCGATTTCAAGATGTAGAGCAGCTGCTGACAGAACATGACAACTTGACATTATTTCATGTTTTCTTGGTGACATTTCCTTGATTAAGGATAATATGAAGCATCATTTTGTCTTTGCACTTCCTGCATAGTAATACAAAATTACATAACATAAACCCCTTCAATTTTGTCTTAAATGCCAAGAAAGCATATTACTTCCAAAGCTGTAACCACAAGCTAACCTGTTTCCTTTGCAGAGCATTTCAGCATGCTTACTTTCAAACAGTAGCAAATTCCAGGTTAGAAACTGGTACTACATCTACAAAGACTCTGCTACAGAATCTAAGGTCAGGAGGGGCTATCCTTACATTTTTGGGCCACATTTGGAAACATTTTTCAATTGACTTGAAGTCGATCCCCCGACAAGTTTAAGGAGCAAAAACGTGAATGTGTTACAGCGAGCTGGACAGGCTATACTGTAGCACAGCTATGTGGGCTCCTATTGGTCCATTGTCCATTGAGTGACTGTTGTGGCAAAAGGCTTTGTATTGTTGGCTGTCATGCGCGTCAGCTGGGCTACCAAAGCTGTTTGGGAAGTTTTAAAAGTCTGTACTGAGTTTCCTAACAATTCATGCGGTTGTTTTGCAGACATTTTCATTCACAACCACAAACGTGAGCCTCATTAGAAAGAAAAGTCTGGATTGACTCTCTGAGGACCCTGAATACCTGTTGAGATGATTCGGTCCGGACTGCAGCTGTGGATTAGCAAACCAGCCAACCCTGTCGTCTACAGCGCCTTGGTACAGGCGTGTGAGCAGAACATGTATTCGGTGCTCAACAGAGAGAAGATTTTTTTTTAAAATCACAGGGCGATGGAAGAGAAATGAAAATTGGATCGCCATCAGAAGTGTGACCTGGTTCGGTGGCTGGTTACGGATGGTCGCACGCTGTTCACTGAGCTAATTATGACCGAACAGAAGGACTTTCTCTGGGAGACACTCCTGTTATACTCCGGAGAATTGATCCAGTTGGAATATCTAGTTCACCATCCCTCGCTGTTTTTTTCACTACTGGCACTCCATACTTCTTTGGAAAGTTTCCAACTTTTACTCTGGCACTTCATCCCACCCCCCTTATTCCGTCTACACACACACACACACACACACTTCTCCTGTCTGGCTGTCTCGTTTTCTCTCAGACATCTCACCATCACTGCTACTAAGAATGTCTCACTGTCACTCTTTTTTGCAGTCACACTTTCTTTCCATCCTCTCGCCTTTGTAGCTGTCTGCTCTCCATCTGACAGCCCGGTATCTCACTCTGTCCACCACTTTCTGTCTTTCCTTCTCCTGCAAAGTGCGTCTCCCTTTGTGTCGGATGAATCAGACAGGCAATTTTGTTCACCTTGGGGAGACCCACACCTGCTCATCTCAGCATCATCAGCACCAAAACTAAAACAAAAGATCAGCATCGGGCAGACCTTGTATTTCCATGTGAGTTCTGCAAACAGTGCCATAAGGAAAAAACTGAATTTTTAGTGTGTGAGACAGCGTGCAGTCATGAAATATGTGAATGAATATGTGCTTGTGAGTGTGTTTGTGTGTGTTTATTGGCTCCCGGCTGTTGTGAGCTATCCCTGGCTGGCATCACAGCACCATATGTCTGTACATGGGGCTGTGCTGACATGCGCCACCGCTGGAGGCCGGCCGGCCGCGTGCAGCACAATGACAGCTTTATGCCTGCATGCCACACATTGCAATAGTCCAGCAAATAGACACATCCTGCAACCCTGCGAGAAGTGAATACTGCTGACTTACAGATGTGAAATAGAACAGGAGTAACAGTTTCTAGCCTGGAATTTTAAATCTAGACCAGAACACTCTGAAACTCTGTATGAGGGGTTATGGACGTTACACAGACTCCAAATGGACCCACAGCTACTAGGAAAGATACACATGAAGCTGAGTAATCACCACAAAGACATCAAATGACCTCCAAAAAATATATACAAAATAAACCAGACAGGCACGAGACAACAACAAAGAGACCAAAATCTCACAAACCGAAGAAATGAAAAGATTTTTAACACAAAAAAACCTCAAATGGGTGAGAAATTAACTCAAAGAAGCCAAAAACCCCAAAGACACAAAGACACCTGCCACACAAAGACACCTGCCAGACACCTGGCTGTGTGTTACACAGCCACACAATACAAACACAAAGAGAACCACATCTACAAAGACACAAGATAGAAGATGCAAAACCACTAAGGTGCTCAAATGTATTACAAATAACACACAAAAAATGATGATGTCAAATGATTCAAAACCTCAAAGAGACACAAAACTATCCTCAAAGAACACAAAAAGATTATAAAGAAGAGTCATAAAAACAGAGCAGAGACGCAAAGACACCCAAAACGTCCAGAGAGAGATGAGAAATAATCGCACACAATAATGACAAACCACAGAGACCCACCACAACTACAAAGAAAGCGACAAAACGGGAGGGCAAACTACAAAAATGAAATACAGACCCAAGAAAAAACAGACTGCAAACTGATGCAGAACCAGTCAGAGACACAAAACTATCCCAAGGTGACACCACATGAGCACAAGAAGATGCACAATTACCACATATGCAGAAAAAAACATTAAAACTGTCATAAAAAGACACAGACTAGCAACAAAGAGACCACAAAGACACGTACAGTTACTACACTGGGTGATTCATGCAAGCACAAAGACCTACAAGACCTACTCAAAGACACGCTTAATGGTCATCAAAAGATGATTAATGACCACGTACACAAAACATGTACAAGAATTTAAAACACTAAGTGACACAGAAGAGAAACAACAAGACACAAATTGATCAATAAGATGAAACATTTCTAGAATTAACCTAAAGGCAGTCTAAATTTAGCATTAAGTTAAGTTACACTTAATTATCGACAAAAGATGCAAAACAGCTGCAAACAGTCCAGGTGTCTTGTTCCTATGTAGGAGGGGACAGGTGCCTTTAGCATGTCGTGTCCAGGGATCTGTAGGCTGTAGGCTTTCAGACTAAAGTAGCAATAGAACAAATGATTCGATTTCATACTGGATTATTTACATTTGCTTATCTTGCTTATCCTGTACTATTACACTGAATAAGAAATGCATCATTCAATAATTTACAGTTTCCAGAGCATGCACTTCTTTAAAACTGTGTCAACTCCCCCAAAATCCAAATCCCAAACTGTGCTGAACATCTGTAAGTGGAGTAAACGTGCTCCTCGGGCTTGTGTTGCAGTGACACATCTGTGCCAACACGTTCTGAAAACAAACCCAGCAGCTTTGATGAAGTGAATGAGTCAATACATGAATCCATGTCTGATGGAAGGAGACCTGTTGGTTCCACAGTGACACCGGCTCCACTGCTGCTGACGAAGGCTCAGATAAACAAACAGAAAGTCTGCTGGCCACAGCAACACAACATGACACAGAAGCATTTGTCAAACCTTCATGATGATCGTTTCAAGCCTCATTTCCTTCCAATGTAGGTCAATATTTCTATCACAGCAGTTCCTACACATTTAATGAATATCTGGTTTTTTTTCTAACCATTATCATTCAAGATAGTGAAGTAACTTCATCTCGAGCAGAAAATGCTGATGTAGGGAAGATGTTTGACTGAGGACAGATGAGCTCAATGTTGCTGTTTGTATCAGGCATGAAACTCACTAACATCAAGTCTAACATCAGTGAAATAAAAAGCCTAAATCGATATCTTAACCACAAATATTATTCTAATTATACAATTCTGCACAGACAAACAATATCAGGCTACAGAGGCACATTTCTCCTGACTGTCAGTGCTGAAATAGCCTCAGTTTAGCGATCTGAATGCACAGAATGAATCATACCTTGGTTATCCTCGTCCATGATTGCAGTGTATTGATCAAGATCCCCGTCCAAAGAAAAAGCTGACAAAAACTCCCTTTGGGTGTGAAAAAAGGGTCTGATGAACAGCAAAAAAAAACAAAACGCGTCCTAATTTCCAGGACGCATCTGGTGCACAGGTTGTCTTGCGGGCAAGCGTCTTCTTTTGGGAAATGTTGTGGCCATTTACGCCTCACAGTCGCGAGGACCGACCCTCCGGTTCAAGCAGTCGGTGAGCAGTGTGTATGTGTGTGTGTGTGTGTGTGTGTGTGTGTGTGTATGTATGTGTGTGTGTGTGTTCGTGTACGTGTGTTAGTCACTGTGGCAGCAGCAGCCGTGTCTTTTCTCCCACTGTGGCCGAGCGTGTTATCGTTATCCCTCCAAATACGCCTTCACTCCACTAGTATCGGGAGAGTAGTTGACACGGCTGCGTCAAGTTGCAGCGAACACAACCGGAAGTATAGTGAACCTTTTTACAATTCTTTCTTCAAAATAAAGGACGAACATTTGTAACAATGCTGTTTTATTTTATTTTGAAATTCATAAAAGGAAGTATTGTGTTATTTTTTTGTTTAACTTGACTGTAGTTGTTAATCCCATCCCAGCTCCACTACATTACCTCTTCTGCGCCCATGTGACTTCAGGCGACACTGATACTATAGCCTACCTATAAAAACAGATCTGTCATTGTTATTGGTTGTGCGGATTGATTTATTGTGCTACTCTACAGCCTTTAAAATAATCAACTAATTAACCTTTACGACTCCCTTTTATGTGGTCATATTTTTTAATGATTTTCAATTGATCTTTCCTTTTTTTATTTTATTAATATTAATCTTTGTATCTATTAGTCCTTCTTCTGATGTCCTGCTCTAATCTTCCTTTATTGCTTTTATGTACAGCCTAGTTCATCCTTTACCTGTTTCAATTTTTTGTGATGTGCAGTCATTTTATAATCTTTAATCTTATTTTTTTTCATTTTGTTACTGCTTCTAATCTTTTATTCCCTTCTTCAATTGTAATTATTGTACTATTGTACAAACACTTAAATGTATGAAGGCCTCTTACTGCCTTTATTTGTCAAAGTGTGCAGCCACACCATGCAGGTAAACAGTAAAAGGGACGGGGCCTTAAATTGGGATGGGATTTTATTTTAAGTTTTACGGTATTATGGAAGTCACAACAGACACTGAGAATTGAGATAATGAAGGCTGATCAAAATGTCAATCATATTCTGAACAGTTTCCATTTGTATAATAGATGTGCATCAGGACAAGATATATATATATATGTTTTATGAAAGTTTGTATTTTTTACATTATGTACATTGTTTCGGCTTCTTTATTATTTACATTGCTCTTTGGTTCTTAGTATTTTACAAAGCTTACTTTAGTGCTGTGGTATAACAAAGTGGGGGTCATGACCCCCCCGGGGGGTCGCAAGCCACCAAGATGGGATCGTGAGATGCCTTCCAAAAAAGCGAATAGAAATTGTGAATAATTGAAAATGGTATATTATACCCATTATTGTAAAATATACAAAAGTAGTTTAATTTCATATAAAGCCATATCATTAAGTTAAATTACACATAAAGATGAACTCAACAGTGTGTCTGCTCAGTTTTCTATGTCCACTCAGTGATAAAGTCTATACAGAGAAATGACTTGTATTCTGCTTCTAGCCTTTCTTACAATAAATTAATATATCAAATAATTTAATGGTTTTTAGGCATGTGTATTCTTTTGTGAACGTGGCAGTGCACTACGTTATGCCTAAACCTCTTCAGGGGACATGGGGGTGCCCAGTGAGCTGAAAAGTTTGGGAACCCTGCTCTAGGGGAAAGGTACACACATTCTAACATACCTGTACTGTCCTTTACCTGTGCAACAACATACAGAAACCGTTTTTATGTGGGAATTGGACTTGTAATGAAGTATTTTTATAGTGGGGTGCCAGTATAAGACGTACCAAGTACATTATTAAAGATAACTACATGCTACTCTCAGATGCAGATGAATACATTTCCACAAACTGCGATTTACCATAAGCTGCTCTGCAACATGAAGATGGACACCGAGGGCTGCTCTTCAGAATTTCTCCCACATCAATCAGAGTTTCATGTTATCGTCTGCAGACCTTTGTAGACCTGTGGCAGTATCACAAAGGCAACACCTTTCAACGATTGACAGAATGGTTTGTGTTTCTTTTGCAAGAGCAGCCTTCATCCATCACAAGTGATGCAGCTAATTCAGCTAAAATAAGAACACAGCTTCCATAGATGATTTAAATAACACATTGCATCAATTATCTCAAAGAATCAACAGATGTAAAATACTGACTTCAGATCAGACTAAGAGGTCTTACATAAGCAGGGGAACCATCAGGTTACACACACACAGAGTGAGACGGAGAGCTTTGCAGAGCTTGTTTCTACAACACACATGGTCTCAATTAAAGCATTCCTGCCTCCGCACCGATGGAGGGGGTCTCACTTCCTGTGTGCATTACTGCAATGGTCAGGCACGAACAGATGTTTGAATGCATTCAGTCATTTGTTTATTCATAGGTGTCTCTTTTAGTACAAATGTTTCATTCCTAGTCCCGTGTCCTAAACAACGCAACATTCTCCAGACATAACACAAACAGCTCAACTCACACTGTTTCTCAGAGTGAGGTTAAGGCTGTAACTTTATATCATGTGTAGGTAGCAAAAGAAGCAAATCCTTTGAACTCATTTTTTGTATTCATTAAAAATTAACTGATAATTCCTGTAGACATCAACCCCCAAAAACGGATCAACTAACCTTTATTAGTTCCAGGCATGTTTGATAATGAAGTGCCTGCTCAAATACCAACAAAAAAAAAGGACAACGTCAAAGGATGAGCAGACGCAGAGAGACTCAAATGAATCATTTTCTGCAAGTTCACATCAGCAGGCCCAAAGAATTATTACACAATCCACTGAACCTCCTCGATCCGGCACGATCCAGTCGAGAGCGAGAGACTCACAGCGAGATCCTGAAGTGACACCTGAAAAAACTGGTCCAGGATGATGGGGGGTGTACGAGTTCTTTGTATATGAGCTATGGCTGGATATTTGGGTACGTGCATGAAGCCTGTGCTTGTTTTCTTTGCACTCTGGCAAAGAGTGTGGGCTGTGAAGAGCTAACCATTTGTTTTTACAAGCTTAATCCTGGAGATGTGTGTGGGGGGGGAAACAAGGCAAAAAGTCAGCAAAGATGTGTGGATTGTTGTAGTTTTTGGTAAGCTTTAATCTGGTGATCACTGAGAAGAAGAAAACTGGGGGGAAAAAAACAGTCTTTAATGAGAGGAAACCTGTATAAATAAATGGACAACACAACAGCTCCCCACAAGTGAAGCGAAAACATTTGGAGCTCACTCTAGTGGCTGGCTGCAGGATCATTCATAAGCTCCACCTTCTCCATGTTAACAGATGGGACTAGGGTCAAACTTTAAAATAAAGCAATTCACTTCAAACATTTTTTCCTAAGACATGGTTTCCATCAGCAGAGTAAGTTTCAATCATGCTGACTAAACACACACAAATATTGCAATGTCAAAAATACATACGTCTTTAACCACGACAAGCTTGGCAACATTCGGCTGAAAGTCACCAGCTTACACAGTCACTCTATTAACCATAACACCGGTTAACGTTGACAGATTAACAATATTAACTGATGCTATTAAAGTTAACGTCTTTGTTAACAGATTAATGCTCAATGTAGTTAAAGTTTTGATGAACTGTGCCCACCTCTGCTTTATATGCAGTCAGTGGGGGAACCCAGCTTAAAGCCCCTCCTTTTTAGATCCCCTTGCATAGTCTCTGTAACTCCAATCACAGTTATGAGTTATTACATAGTCAGTGGATTGATGCAAAGTGTTAATTAAAATATTTATTAAAGAGCGAGTGCTGATTTAAATATTCTCTGTGCTACATGTGGAAAATAGGTCATATGCATAATGTCTGCGATGGTTTTGGAATATGTTTAGACAAATAAAGTGTCGCTGTCTGTTTTTGTCAGTGCTGGACCTCATCGAGCAGAACAAAACTCGTGGAAAGTCTGAGTAGCTTACATTAAAAGCAATTAGATTCCTGACTCTGTCTCTCTGGCAAACACAAACACACTCAGCGCGCTGTACTCCACATACATGTCATGCTAATGTGTTTATGAGTCATAAGAGAAACCCCTCAGTGTGGCCCAGATATCCTCAGGGATGAGAGAGGAATGTAAGCGTGCAGAATTTAACACTTTAAAAACATCTAAATATAAGTTTAAGGCTGTTGTTTTAGGCCAACCGGGGCTCTTTCACATAAAAACCACACATAAGTGGCCACAAATTGCTCACAAAGTGAAAGTCTGTGGCTTGAAGTGAACACGTGTGGGGGGGTTTCAGGCTGTCTGACTCCCAGACTCTCGTGCCGATGAGGGTGCTCATCCTCGGGGAGGCGTATGTCTGGCAGATTAGGCCGACCATCATGGGAAACGTCTGCGGTTCTCCTCCTGACCGACTTCACGTGACCTGATTGAGCAGTCAAACCACTTTTTATGCTCCAGTCACCACGGCGATGCCCACAGGGAGATCACCTCCTCTCTGTTACACTGCTGACCCCCCAACAATTAGACACACGCAGACACTAAGCAGCCCCCCCATGCCCCTATGAAAACCCCCATTTCTCTAACTCCATTTCTACAAAATCACGTGCATGCAGAGTTTACAGTCGGGGGAGGAACTTGTGGTTGAACTCTAAATTGTAGCAGCTTGTAGAAGTCAATAAGTTGAAGCATAGAACAAAATGCACAGAAAAATTCAGCGCTGAAATATTTTGATTTTGTGGAACAGGGGTCGCGATTGCTCAGCGGTAGAGTCGGCTGCCTCTCAACTGGAAGGTTGTGGTTTTGAGCCCCAGCTCCTGCAGCAACCTGTCCCATGTGTACTTGGGCAATACACTTATGTTTAACCTGCTAGCAAGCTAAACAGAGATTATGAACATTGTTAACTTTATACCTGTTTACATCAAAGTGTTATTGGGAGCATGCTAGCTTTTAGTGTAGATCATAGCAGTGCATTCATGCAGCTTTGCAGGCTGCTACAGTCAACAGTTTTAGCATGATAGCTAACTGTACGAGAGATATTGTGCTGATTTTAAGAGATTTTGGAGTTTCCTGTTCCTTTTCTTTTTTTTGTGTTAATATCTCAAATCACAGCCTAAACTGTCCCAAACCGAAGGATGTCCGTCCTGTTGTGAAAGGTGAATGGGTTAACCTTTGGGTGATGGCGTGTTCGGTGACAGGGGGTCACAGGAAGCAGAGGGCAGCAGGATTTCCTTTTTCCCTCCACATCGGTTTAATATGCAGCTTTGCATTTTCACAACTTCTTTC